CCAAGGGCACACAGCTGATAGGAGGCAGGGCCTGGATTCAAACCTGGGTAGTTTCACTCAAGAGCATACATTCATCAGCGTTAAGCCACGGTGCTTCCTAGCTGTGAGGTCACACTGCCCCCGGGCATCCATTCTTTGCCTCTGTGAAGGGGCTGTATCCACTTGGCCGTGAGGTGCGGCTCCTGGCAGTACATTGGGTGGCGCCCAGATGGAAGCAGGCCACCTGCACATGGCTGAGTCTGCCACAGCCAAGTCATCGGGCTGGGAGTGGTTGTGCTGGTTGTCCATGGGCTGGGTCGCGGGGCTCAGCAGGAACCAGTTGCAGGCCTATTATTGGCCAGAAGCATCTGTGGACACAGCAGCCTTCCTGAGGGTGTCTCTGGGATGCTCAGCTGCTGGGGAGAGGCACCAATGGCTCTGATGGGGTGTTGGGAGGAGACCAGCATTCTTCCCCTTCTCCTTTCTGCCCCGCCTAAGGCTCATAGTGAAACTGCAGACCCAGCATGATGAGAAAGAGACACTGACAAGATAGCAGAGGCACAAAGGAATAAGAATGTGAGTTGGCCGGGCGTAGTGGCTCACACCTGTAATCCCAGCACTTTGGGAGGCTGAGGCAGGCGGATCACTTGAGGTCAGGAGTTCAAGACCAGCCTGACCAACATGATGAAACCCCGTTTCTACTAAAAAAAAATATATATATATATATATAAGTCAGATGTGGTGGCACATGCCTATAATCCCAACTACTCAGGAGGCTGAGGCAGGAGAATTGCTAGAACCTGAGAGGTGGAGGTTGCAATGAGCTGAGATCACGCCATTGTACTCCAGCCTAGGAAACAAGAGTGAAACTCTGTCTCAAAAAAAAAAAAAAAAAAAAAAAAAAATTTGAGTTTAGGCTCCAGACTGACGTTCTGGCTCTGTGTGTATTTGGCCAAGTGGCTTCAGTCTCACCATCTGTGAAATGTGAAATGGAGATGATACTCGCACCTTCTGTGGGAGGCCGCTATGAGCATTTCAAGAGGGAGTCTGGGACCAGATAAAGAGCAAGCATCTCCTGCCTCCTGCCTCTGTGGCTTCTCTGGTGTACCCTTCCCCATGACCCCTGCTCCCTCCCCCGCAGCTCCTCACTTTCCCAACCCTGTAGGGCCTCTGCTGGGATGTCCAGTAGGGATGAAAAGTGCTGCACAAGGGGAATGGCAGGGCTGAGCTCCGCTGGAGGGCACAGTGATCTGGGCTTGGCCTTGAAGGACAGGCATTCACCAGGGTAGAGGGTACAGAAGGACGTTCCAAGAACAGGGAATGAGGGGCCAGGCTCCTTCCTTAAGCCTCTTGCTCAAGATTACACAGCTGGTAGGACGCAAAGCTAGGATTCAAATCCATATCTGGGCCGGGCGTGGTGGCTTGTGCCTGTAATCTCAGCACTTTGGGAGGCCGAGGTGGGTGGATTGCTTGAGGTCAGGAGTTCGAGACCAGCCTGGTCAACATGGTGAAACGTGTCTCTACTAAAAATACAAAAAATTAGCCAGGTGTGGTGCCAGGAGCCTGTAGTCCCAGCTACTCAGGAGGCTGAGACAGGAGAATCACTTGAACTTGGGAGGTGGAGGTTGTAATGAGTTGGGATCACATCATGGCACTCCAGCCTAGACAAGAGCGAGACTCTGTCTCAAAACAAACAAACAAACAAAAAACCACATCTGTTGGACTCTAGAACCTGGGGGTAAGATCTGTTCAAACCCAGAGCTGGTTGTATGGCCAGGAGAACTAAGGAGACTGGGGCCAGAGCTGAGCGGGAGAGAGCCTGGGACTTGGGAAGACACCCATGGGGGCACGGGTGCACACCAAAGCCCAGGCAGAATTCTACCCATGGTAAATTACACGTGGAGAACGTGCCCAGGCCTACACTCAGAACTTCAGCTGGTAGGAGGCAGAGCCAGGATTCAAAGCCATGCTGCTGGGCTCCAGAACCTTCACTGTGACAGCTGTCCTCCCAGGGAGGTGCTCTGTTTGCCCCCATTAGTGCCAGGCCCAGTCCAGCACAGCCAGAGAAAAGGGGGTCTTCCTGTTTCTCACCTCCAACCCCATGATCCGTGGACACAGATAGCACCACACACACACACACACACACACACACACCCCACAGGACACCCACACTCAGGTGGCCCAGGCAACTGAGGCATGGGCAGGAAAGCCACAAGCAGGGACGATTTTCCTGGTCACCACCCCCCCCGACGGGATCTCATACTGGAGGCCTGATGGCCCAAGTCCACCACAGCCTGTCTGATACTAGTGGCTGCTGAATGTGGCACATGGGGACTTCACAGGGCAAACCCCAGTCCTGGACAGGTGGTGTTGCTTCTTTGAGCCCCAGAATCCCATGGGAAAATGAAATAGCACTCCTGTGGGGTTCCACAGGCATTAAATGAGATACTGTGTGGGAGGTGCCTGGTGGGGGGCCGGCCCAGAGGGGAGGACCCTTTCTCCTGGCACCAGCACACACTTCACCCCGCCTGGGAGACTCGGCCCAACGTTTCTTCTTCACTTCTCTGGAATGCCGCCCCTTCCCACCCCCACTTCTGACCAGGGAATGGCACATGGACATTGTTTTGTTTGGGGGCTACAGAACAGCCCTAACTTGGTTCGCAAGGTCACCTGGTCCAATAGACTTAAGAGACTCTCACCCCATTTGTGCACCCCAAGCAGAAGCCTGGTACCCATCCCCGCATGGACAGCTGCACAGGCCCTTGGGCCCCACATGCTTGTGAACACACATGTACTCTCAAGTAAGCACACGGTTTCCTGTGCATCGAGCGGTATGTGGACAGGCCCTTTTGCCCGTGAGCGGGTATTTCTGGCAGTTTCCTGTTGTTATTCTCCTTGATCTTGTAATGGGTTTTGGGACCTCCGCTTCTCTAGTCCCAGGGCTCAGAAGCCCCCCAGGCTTTCCGAAGCTCTCACTAAGTGTTGGCTTCTTGAGCAAGAAGGGCTAGGTCAGGGCGTGGGGTCTGGTTTTACTCATCTCTGAGTCCAGCCTCTAACCCACCACTTGACACAGAAAACGTACCTGGTGAAAATCTATTAAAATCAACGATTGATTTCACCCAGTTTGGAGTGAGACATGCCCGCACAGTCTCCATGTCTGGAGCGCTTCACAAACCCCAGGGGACACCAGAGGCTGGGCCAGAGGGCCTGTGTGGTGGCCCAGTTTCCTCACCTATGAAGTGAGGATGCTTCTGTCCTCTGGTGAGGAGTGAAGAGAGAAAACGTGCACATGCTTCCTAACACAGCACATAGGAAGAGCATTGTTATTTTCATTTCGGCCTCCCTAGGATAACAGAGACGCCCATAATTCCCTCAGGGGTTGCTAGTCAACGTGGGAATCTCCTCTAAGCACTGGCCTGTGCTTCTCTCCACACACTGGTCCAAGGTGAGACTCAAGGCGGTTCCAAGGAAGTGTCTGCTTTGGGATGTTAAAGATGAATTTGGGTGCGCCTACGTATTATGTTCCCACAGTATATTTTTGCAAAACCACATAGCATATATTGTTTTATTTACAAAGATGAGAAAGGCTGACCCACAAGCTAATTGAATCATGCAAATAACTATTTAGCCATGGGAGCAATTCCTACAGGCAGGCTGAGCACCAAGTGAGGGAGGACGGCTTTGGAGGGCAATCTATTTTATAAAGTTTACCCTCACAGTGTAACTGCCTGGAGATTAATGGGAATTAAGCCCTAGACCTTGTTTTGCCTGGCTTTACCAACTGAAAGAATCAAACAGTTGTATTTATCATAGACAATTTGCTGCAACTAATTAACATTAATCTGATTTCCTGTGAGTCAGTTTCCTTGAGATATAGTAAACAGGCCAATTACCTGCCATTGACCTCTTTTATTATAAAGATTTAGATATTAGCGACAGATGTATATGTAAACATATGGAATTTCTAACAATTTGAAGAAAACAAACATTAAATCCAGGTAAAAGATTTTTAATTGGTCTTACAAGATTACAAATTTAGAGTTTAAAAAGGTATGTTGAATATTGCACAGATTGTTTTTTCAATGGCATGAGGCCCATTCTTTCCAAACTTTTCTTAGTCTTTAACTGTAGTTAAAGAAGTTAAAGGTGAAGAAGCAAACGTGTGCCAGACGCAGTGGCTCACACCGGTAATCCCACACTTTGGGAAGCCAAGGCAGGAGGATTGCTCGAGCCCAGAAGTTCAAGACCAGCCTGGACAACACAGTCAGAAACCATCTCTAAAAAAAAAATAACTTAAAAAAAAAAATTCAGTGGGGTCCAGTGGCTCACACCTGTAATCCCAGAGCTCCAGGAGGCCAAGGTCGGAGGATCGCCTGAGGCCAGTAGTTTGAGACCAGCCTAGGCAACATATCAAGCCATGTCTCTAAAAAAAGAAAAATTAGCCAGGCATGGTGGTATACACCTGTAGTCCTAGCCACTCAGGAAGCTGAGGCAGGAGGATCACTTGAGCCCAGGAGTTTTATGCTGCAGTGAGTCAAGATCGCATCACTACACTCTAGCCTGGGTGACAGCATGAGACCCCATCTCAAAAAAAAAAAAATCCATCTAACAAGTGCCAAAGGCATCACTAGGTCAGGAGAGTGTGAGCTGAGGGCAGAGAGACCTGAGTTCAAGGTGTGATCCCTTGCTCAAGGTGTGACCCCTTGCTGTCCTAGGTCTGTGATCTTTTGGCATTCGCTTAAATTTTCTGAGCTTTGGTTTCCTAATCTATGAATACGGAGTTTTCCTTGGGGTGTTACTGAGCACATCAGGATCAAGGGAGGACTCCCAACGATGGTTCAGTAGGTGGCACGATGCCTGCACACTCAACAGCAGCTGCTCCTTCCCTCCCAGCCCCACCATCATCTCAGAGTCATCTCCGACAGGCAGGCAGTCACCCTCCCAGGCCTGGTGCTGGGTGCACTTTCTCCTCTCCCTGCACTTGGCTGGATCAAATAGTGAAGTAAGAAACTGCATCAACATTTAATCATGAAAGCAAAAAGTTTATTCATGTTTGAAACTACATGTAACTACCACGAGGAAGACTTTTTCAATCCAGGGTGTAATCCAGTTAGAAAGGAACACGAAACGTTTTTAATACATTAGAATCACCGCCACAAATTATTTTCATGACTCAATCAGTTTCAGAATCGCATACAATACAAAAAGAGAAAGGAGAGGGGGCCCCATTACACAGGGTGAAATATACAGTACTGAATACTGAAATCTGAATGCATCACAATTAGTCGCTGCTTTTTTTTTTTTTTTTTTGCATGGATTAGTAGTAAGATGAAGAACATTCAAAATGTTTCTCAGTATTTACAACAGTTTTACTGATCCTGTGTTGAATTAAGACCCAATGTTTCCACTCTCGGTTTTTTAAAAGTTGCAAATGCAACCCTGATTTTTCTTTTAAAAGATTACAATGTACATTACATTTTATGAAGGGAAACAAAGAGTTAATTACAAGATGCAAAAAGATAAGAAAGAGACAAACTACAGCGTGAGTATTGTTCAGAGGTAGTAAGTGAGCACTCTAAGCTACAGAACATGTTGAAATTCTATTGGTTTGTATGAGTTCGCATGAGGTAATAAAGCTGTGTTTTGATTGGTGGGATGTATAAATACTCTTTTGCTACACTATATACAACACTCCAGAGAGCAGGGCCTTTTGCGGATGCCCAGAGGACGTAGCAAACCTTGACAAGTCTATGCAGCACCCAGTGCACACCGTAAAACCCCAGACGGATCGATCTTGTTTTCACCTCTATCAGCAGCAAGTATCTTCGTCTCTCAGAACAATCTGGATCCATAATTTTATTACCGAGCAGACTCTGGGCACTGGTGCTTTCAGAGAGAGAAACGATGCTACCAGTCTCTGATCTAATTATAACATAAGAGATCTGAACACAAACGTGACGAGGAAGATTCTTAAACACAACCATCATTAACAGGGATAGCCAAACAGCTCTTTATTCCAACTCCATTAGTGATATGAAAGTAAGACAATCCAAGTCAGTAATGAAAATAGGCAAGAAGTTCAATTTAGGTGAGGTGAATTTTTGCGTCGGCTTTAACGATTGAGGTTTAGTGTATATTGTACTTTTTACCCTTAAGGCCAAGTAATTGGCAACTGTGAAACCATTAATGTAAAATATTGGTAATAAATTATGATAAAATAGCTACAGGACTGTCAACAATGTTAAATCTTGGCCTAATTGGATAAAGTGCTTTTTTTTTTTTTTTTAACATTGTGTGTTTTTAAGTATAAATACAAATGATTATGATTCCTTAAAAAACAGATTTACCAAGTTCTCTAATAAGACAAGGTTTTACAGTAAAGCTGTAGATGGTGGGCTACAAAAACGCTTTCCTTTTCCTCCTATTGCTCTGAATGCACTTATCAAGGCATGTCAGCTCAGGGAAAAGTGTGGCCAGAGATTAGTTAGAGGTATCCGAGTGCACACTTCCTGGGCCTTCTGTAGGAGAAGTCACAGAAGATGGAGTTGTTGCGTCCTGCCAGCCTCCATTAGCCTGAAAGGAGAAATACAGTTCAACGGGTGCACGTCTACATATTAATTCTACTCCCCAATTTAAAACACCCAGATGACAACATGAGAGCAGAGATGCATTAGCAAAATGTATTTTCTAAACCCACTGTGGCAGGAGTTGGCAGCATGTGTTAAAGTGGGATTAAATGCATGTAAAACAAATCCAACCCATCAAGTAAAGACTTGGCAATAAATCAACATGCCGAAGAAGGGCTTCAGCGAGGCCCATGCTGGCACCAAGCTTGGCCTTTGATCTGCTGGTAAAACTACAGTGTCTCAAAAAGAATCTCTTAAGAAGGGAGCAGTGGAGAAGCTCAATGCAATGCCTCAGCAAAAGCCTGGGCTCCATGAAGTCTAAACTTCACCCCGGCTTAATCATCATTTCCACAGAGAGCAGTTGCCCACCCTTTTTCCATACACGCCTGATAGCCAGCTACTGTAACCCTTAGAAAGTGAAGGCCAGAATTTCCCTCCAAATAGGATCTTCCAGAATGAAAATGCATGAGCCGCGGAGCAGCACACGCTGTTAAAATCTGTATTCCAATTATCTGTGGCCGAGGCTGCTATTTGGGATGTTGCTCCTGCCTTCCACATGCTGCCGGCCCTTCCTGCCTCAGACCCGCAGCAGCAATAACTGTACTCAGAAACAAATTTGCCTTATGTCTTGGCCTATAGTGGCAATTGCTGAAATCAATGTCTGATCAGATTTCTGCTGTGGCAGACAGCTTGTCGCTACATATTTTTATGTCAGTCAAGAAGAGGGAGGTGCCAGCCTTGTGAGTTGGGGAACACTGAGTGGAAGTGACGGGGCAGGCCTTCTGGAGAGGAGGCGAGGGTGAGCTGGCTCCCAGTGCCTGCAGCACCAACCACCCTCTGCCTGCATGCTGCCCCCAGACCCGGAATCCCACACCAATGTCAGAGTGGATCATAAGGTACCTCCTGCCTCCCTTACATCTACCTGCAATTTCCTCTGCAAGTCCATCCAAAATGTCCTCGTTCAGGCCTGGGCTGCCAGGCTGCTGAGAACTCTGTCTAGATTCCCTGCCCAGCCCGGATAGAGCTCCTAGATGAGCATGTGGCAGCCATTGTTTCTTCTCCCATGACCACAGTTCCTGGAGAACTCCCTGTCTTCTGATTCACTGCAGAGTTCGGCAGGCAAAGCACCTTTTCTACCTCCATGACCCACGGAAAGGGAGGGAAAAACCAAACAACCCCACAGAGATGACCAGAGCCTAAGGGAAGAGGATTTTCCAGGCTTGAGGCATACCAAATTCAGGTTAAGGAAAACAAAAGGAAACAATATTAAAAAAAAAAAAAAAAAAAGCTATGGTGGTATTGTTTTAAAGCCTCTGTTGTGCCAGCTTGGCTAATGACATGCCCGTGTGTGCTCGGTGGACTCTCAGAAATCCTCTTCTCTATCTAAAAGGTAAGCTGTTTCCCCCCTCAGGTATGAAAATCTACTCAGGAAAAGAAAAACTCTCACACAGATACAAGTCTAAAGATATTCCATCTGAAGTAAACATCATTCCTCTTTTATCCAAATTTATAAACAACAAATGTACAATATTTTTACCCAGCGTGGCAGCTGGAGGAGAGGTTGTCAGCAAGCATTCTTTTTTTTTCAAAATAAATTAATCCTTACTCTGGTGGTTTGAGATTATGCACTGTATTATACAACAGCGCCTTATCAAGCCTCATCAGTGAAGATGGAATTCATGTCTGTAAAATGCTGCAGGCAATCACAGTTTCATATTTTATCATGTTGATAAGGATATCGCACATTCTCTGAAGCATTTCAAAACACTTAAATGAAAAAGGAGAAATGCAACTAAAAGGCTTTTTATATGGTTTGTTGTGGGTTATTATGAGTTATTTATAAGCCCAAAAAGAAAGATTTGACATTTCAAATGTAAAAGATTTGAGTATTTAATGGTCCTTTTTTCCCTTTACAATTGAACATCCTCAATCACTTTTTAAATCATTAATATTTACTCTCATAGCAAGCCAAGGCCCTAAAAAGGGATAATTTTGCCCATTTTCTTCCTGAGTCTACTACCGTGAGTTGGGCAGTTCATTTCCTTCCTAAGTGTAGAAGCCCAGACTCCATCCACCTCACCCCACAGCACCGCCACGATGACCTGCCTCCCTGCCTCCTTCCCCTTTTCCAGAGCTGTGTGTCTTGCCATTTTCCATCCATGTCAGTGAAGGGAAAGGTAAAGTTGTAGTGAAGTAGTTACAGAAGTTAACATCATTTCCTCCATAATTAAAGTTGTCAAATATGTTTTGCATCCCACATTGACAATACAGCAAGATGCTTTTAACAACAGAATTATTTGTTTAGCTTGGTTTGTTGGTCTGCCTGGGAGTCTCCAGACTTACCACCTTCACCTGAGTTCTGCTTCGGAATTTTTCCTGCTGCCTGATTCTAAGATAAATGACCTGTTTTCTACTGTCTCCCTGGAACACAGCACTGATGGTAGGAAATGGCATCTGAATGGGCTGATGCTTAAGTCCCTGCTGATGACAGGACACCAGCCACTTCTGAGCATCTATGACGACTTCTAAGGGTATCCAGGTGGCATTAAGCATTTAGGTTCTTAAAATAAAAGTGCAGCGAAGATGCTGCCTTCCCTACCTGCCAATAAGATGAGAAGCCAGGTCAAATGGCTATTAATTTCTTTATTAGTCACTGTTTACCTGACACTGTGCTCCTACAGCTGGCTCGCCAGAGTACTCACATTTAAATTATGTGGACTGTACAGTGAATTTCCTCCAAGGCCATCACTGTAGCCTCCCGTCTGATTGATAACATGACGGAGGGTATCCACCTAGGTGAGACAAAACAAAATTCATCATCCCAAATCTATTAAAACGTCATCACTTACAAAAGGAAATAATTTGAATTATGTGTGCCACAAGGGTTTAACATCTTCAATGAAAGACAAATTTATCAATCAAATGTGACTGGCAGAATTTCAACCATTCTTTGCATATTTAAACTCACAAATCTTTGTTTTTCATGCCAGCCAAACAATAACATCTTCATGGCAATGCAACTTTCCATCTACAGCAACCAAATGGATGTGGCTGTGGGTGAAAACCTACTTAGAATTGTGTATATGGAATTATCTCAACTCTCTCTCTCTCTCACTTTCTCTGTGTCTCATACACACACATCTAAATGTATAAAAACTATATGAGTAAGTTCTGTTCTCAATTAAGAGGACAAGAAAAGAGTAGAAATTATAGAGTTATAATTTAAGAACTCAGATTTTGTACTCTGACTTAAGAAATGAAACAGCAACATGTTCTTAAACCATATACACACTGGAACACTCAATTTTTCTGTTCTATTTTGTGACAAAAGTAAGATGCACCCAACCCCTCTCCATGAGCTCAAGCCAGAGCCGAATGCATTCACAAAGTTTATCAGGTTTGAATCATCACAAGTCACTGTTCGCTTGACTTCTCATTAAATTAAATGGTGGGGCAGATGGGTCCTGTTTGGAAGCACCCAGCACAGGTTCTGCATGGATGTGTAGACCACTTCCAGAGGGTCAGAGGAAGGAGTTTTGAGCCCAAACCCTACCCTGCTAGAAAGGCCCCTCTGGGGCATCTCTCCTACCTGTGATTGCACATTGGCTCCGACTTGGGACCCTTGGTAAGAATCCCCATTCAGACTCTGCATGTTCATGAACATGTCCCCAGAATTTGGGAGGTTAAAAGAACCAGAAGAACCTGGAAAGGAAAGAGTTAAGTAGCTGAATAACAGAGAGCTACACACATAATCCTCAAAGACCTAGAGGCAGGGAGAGGAGAAAAAGTACAGAAGGGAAAGGCTGTGCACAACATAAAGCATTTCCAGATCTAAGAGGATGGAGAGTAACTCCAGAGAGTTGGGTCCTGTGAGTCACTCTACATCTAGAAGTCCCATCAATGGGGAGGCCCAAACTTAAAAAACAAAACCAAAAATGAAGAGACAAATCAAAATAAATTAAAAAGAAAAAATAAACCAAAACACCCAGCAGCTGGCCTGGACCCTTCCCCTTGTTTCCACTGATCTGCAGGATTTAGTCATGACACGAGCTTGTCAACAAGGCTAACTGTCACGGTGGACAGCCACCCAGAGAAGAGACTTTTCCAGGAACTCTTTCTTAGCTATGCATATACCTCCCTCTCCTTCCACCTGTTTTTATGTGCCATTAAAAAGAACTGGGGGGCGAGGAGACAAGACAAAACAAACAAAAAATCCCCTATTTTCTGAACTTCTAAAGATATATTTAAGAGACCTTCTCAGAAAAGTCCCTGGAATTGCTACTCAAGTCCATCTGTTTGGACTAGCTGCACATCTTTCATTGTTATTCAAGTTCCCCGAAACTTTAAAGTATTTCTAACCCCCTCACAAATGTCACATAAAATGCAGCCAAAATGTACCAGACAAGGATCCAAGAATCTTGCATGCGTGTATTAAGCACTGTAACCCTCACAGCTAGCCACCTGCTGAGCATGCCGTCAGTCCTGCTCAGACAATGTTGCCGAAAGGCAGAGAAAGGACAGAGGCGCTGGGCAGAAAGCACCGCTGCACTTCCCTCCAGCATTCCAGCTTCCTCATGCACAGCAACTGCTGCATTTCCCACTTCTGCTATTTCACTCTCCACAGACCACTACTGACCCTAAAGTGATAACTGGAAAGAGATAGCTAAAATAGTCATGAGCGAGAGCACTCTGCCTAATTGCTGAACTGAAAGCCACTACTAAGTGTAAAAGTTCCATCATCTACTAGTGAGTGGCATTCACTGTGAAGAGTGGGTTTACAGGCTCTGGCCTTCCACTCATTCACCCATCTCAAGAACAAGCCTACATTTGAATATAAATCTTCCTTTTTAAGTCCACTCTGTCCTCAGTATGGCTCTTGTTTCCTGGCCTGTGGGACAGGGCATTGTGGCATAAGGCTGCCTGGGCCAGCTGGGGAGCAAGCCCCCAGTACGCACCGGAATTTGGTGTGGTGGGTGAATTGGTCTGGTTGTTCTGCACAGCTGCTGCTACTGCGTGTGCAGCTGTCACGGCCGTCTTTGCAGCATAGAGGTTGGCTTCTTCCTGAAACTTGCCGATATTCTTCTTGTACCTGATTCGTTTGTTGCCAAACCAATTGGATACCTACAAATTACAGGGACATGGAGGTGAAGGGGAAGAGAGGAAGAAATAATCAAAATCCAATAATACCTGTCGGACACCAACGCAATACCACACAATTCCTAGCCTGCAACCTCGCATCCTATGGATCATGCATTATGGTTTTAGGGGTTATTTTCTCTTTTGGCAAAACTCTCACATTCTTTTGGAATAACACCGCTTTCTTAGAGTTGGCCACACTAATATCAAAATGGCAGGGAGCACTGCTCATAAAAGATATCCAACTGCTATATACCGATTAGTATATAAATAGTCAGGCCCCCAAAATCAGGCTGAAAAGCTGAAGGAAATATTTGCTAAGTTAGGTAACTAATAAGAAATACTTGAACATGAACAACTTATTCTTCTTTTTTGGGTCTAGAATAATTTTGGCAGCTGTATAGTAGAATCATGTTTGGTCTGCTGAAAAGAGTAACATCAATTAATAATGGATGAAAAAACCCTTTGTCTTCTGCCTTAGCAAACACTGCATGTCTGCCAAGATGGCTGCTCAAGCTCTGCCAGTTAACATGTGGGAAGGTCACAACTTGAAAACTCAAGTAATTCCAATCAGGTCAAATGCAAACACAGAGGAGCAACTCTAATGTCATCAGGTAGAAGATATTTATTTCTTTTGCAAACTTCTTATGATGTCAGCTGGTGCAAATGGAAGAGATTTCTACAAAGGATCTTGGCAATAGGCAGATTTCATCACATTTCAAGGAGAGCAGAACTCAGCCCCAGAATCATGGCTCACAGTGACAATGTGTTCAGGAACCTGTAATTGAGCTATATAAAGAAGCTAAAAGCCACACAGCAATTTATAAGAAAGTATACCCACTCGCTATATAAAAGGATCTAACCTCTCTTTTATTAAAGTAACAGTTTAAAAATACTCTTCAATAATTTCTTAATAATCTGTCAAAGGGGCATATTGCTGTGATATCAGGCTGGGTGGGATCATTGTTCTACCCTGAAGGTATTCTTCTTCTTCTTTTTTTTTTTTTTTTTTTTTTTTTGAGATGGAGTCTCGCTCTGTCGCCGAGGCTGGAGTGCAGTGGCACCATCTCGGCTCACTGCAAGCTCCGCCTCCCGGGTTCATGCCATTCTCCTGCCTCAGTCTCCCAAGTAGCAGGGACCACAGGCGCCCACCACCAAGCCCAGCTAATTTTGTGTATTTTTAGTAGAGATGGGGTTTCACCACGTTAGCCAGGATGGTCTCAATCTCCTGACCTCATGATCTACCCGCCTCGGCCTCCCAAAGTGTTGGGATTACAGGAGTGAGCCACCGCGCCCGGCCCCTGAAGGTATTATTCCTAACAGCTATTCATAGGGGCCCTGAAGAGACATAAGGAGTAGTATGTAGTTTGAAGCCTTCCAACCCAATTTACAGTGTGGGCACCCCTTTTGACCATTTCTGCCAAGTCTTTAATTGCTTTGGAAATAGAATTCTCATTCTTCAACCTATGGCACTCATCCTTCTGGAAGGAGCAGAGAGCCCTGGCAAGGGAGCCACGTGAGGAAGACAACATTGGCCTTGCTGCTGACCATATGCTGTCCACCCTGGGGGTCATGGGGTGCACACATATGCACATACACACATGCAGGCATACTTGCCGAGGACCCATGCAGCAACCATGAGCGCAGGTTCATCAGACAGAAACAAGCCAAGCCCATCAGGAAGTAAATGTGCTACAGATCAGCACTTCCTAGCTGTTTCTGTTCCACCATCTTTTTTTCCCCCTAGAAGACTGTATGTATCCCTTCTTTTCTTCATATCACATAGAGTGGCTCTAATAACTATCATTTGGTGAACGACCATTATGCAGAGCACCTTGCATACATTTTCTCATTTTAATGTGAACAATTTCAAGGGCTAGGTGGTAGAGGGGAGTAGTTATACTAGCATGACACCAGTCCCAAATCCAATGGCCTTGTCTCTCTGACTAGTTTGACCTCTCAGCAGTGTCTGATACTTGTAATGAACACCCCTCTTGCCTAGAGCAGGCTCTTACATGGTGTATGTGACATTATTCTCCTTCTCTTCCAACATCTGCTCTTCCCTGATACGAGAGAGAGAAAGAGAGAGACAAGTTTTCTCCAGGACTCAGCTCTTGACCCTCTTCTCTCTTGCACCTAGAGCAACCTTATCCATATTCAAAATTTCAATTATCCTCTCTGTGTGGATGACTCCCAGATTTCCATCTCTTATCCATATCATCTATGAATTTAATGAGTTCTCATTTTTAAAGAGATTTCCCTATATATTGTTCTGCCACAACCTCCAACTCAATAGGTCTAAGAGGAAGTCGGGTGTCCTCTAAGCCTGTGCCACCTCCTCCGTATTTTCTTTGTGGTCCTGATCTCTCCATCTCCAGAGATGTGGTACTCACTACCTCACAAAATCCCTGCCTCCATTGGTGGATAGTCCTAATGGGTATATAGTTCTTTTTATTCTGAACTACAATCTGGTTCCCTTTCCTTTCCACACATTGGTGCTACTTCCAACATCTAGACTGTCACAACATTAGGCCTTCAAGCTCAGCCCCAAGGGACCTCTTCATCCTATTATTAGCCTTCTTGGCTCTCCCTTCCTGCGCCCCATAGGCTCACAGCAGGTGTGCATTATAACTGCATAGGATGTGGCAATAGGAGGGAGTTAGGAGAGTATATAAGCGAGGAAGCCATGAGGGCCTGAGCCAGGCAGAGCAGTAGGAGTGGAGAGGGTACATATTATGGAGGAGGAACAGACAGAATCTGGCCACTGACTAGCTCTGGAGGTCAGTGGAGAGGGACAAGTCAGAGACGATGCAGGTGTGGTGCCCAGGCCTTGAGCAGGATGGAGACAGATACTCGGGAGGAATTTCTGCACCAGGACAAATCAGCCTCAGTGACCATTAGAATCCATACCGGAATTATGTGATTCTAAAAGTTCTAAATCAAGATTGGAAAAAGACTACAAAGGTATGGGTTCTGATTATGCTTGTTAAAGCATGTTCTCTTTGACCTTACCTCATGTTTCCCAACGCATGCTCCCAGCTCAGGAGACAGACCTAGAGCTGGCTTGCAAAACACTCCTTTAATACATAATTATCACTCTAGCTTTTCTGACTAAGACTGTCAGGCCTCAGAAAGAGTTAAATATTGAACATATCTATAGTGCAAAGGAGGACAGTGTTGGTTGAGAGGGAATCTGGCATTTCTTAAGCATAATTAATGAAAATTCCCCAACTCTGAATTTAGCAGCAAAGGCCCATCTTAGAATTCTCTTCTTCCAAACAATTCTCTGTTGGATTCAGTACTTTGTAGTTAATATTACCTTGACAATCAGAGAAGCTATAATACATTAATGAAACCTAGCCTGGAAAATCAGATTACAGCTTTATTAACAGTTTCATAATTGAGGAATCTCTGTACCATCGAAGGTCTCATCTCTAGATATGTAAGAATCCTCTGTTTATGCATACCTCTGGACCAATCAAACAACAGTCATCACTAATAAAGGTTTATTTAATTCTCACAGTAAAATTTTAATATCACCAGCAGCCTGGGGAAGCTTTAGCAAGTGGATTTGCTTGACATCAGATCGTTTTTATTCTGCTAGTCCCAATACTTCTTAATCTTTAATATCAAGGCAATTAAAATTAATGGCCACTCATCCGAAGCTACTGTGGGCACTGTTTCCTTGACATCAATTGTTTGATGGGATTACCTAGAGGTTAAACTAACAAGCAAGGTTTAATTGGAAGCAATGAAAGAAGCAGTGATCATACGTTATGTTTAACCTGCATAACCACATCTAAATGAATATCTAAAAATGTTAAACTATTTCTCAAATTAAAATATGCACGTCACATTCTGATATTACAGATTTGGGTATTGCAGCAATCAGCTATTAAGGCCACACTGCTGCAACTGAGATGGGGTAATTAATGTATCAATCGACACCTAAATTCAGGATTTTTTTTCACCTTTTAAAAACAGATGGATATAATTAGTTGCAAAAGAAGCCCTAAGCTCGCCCAGTAGGAAGCCTCCAAGGCTGCAGGTCATGTGGCCCCTCCTGTACAGTGCTCCCAGTGGGGCCAGGCTGTATGCATGGTGCATGAAGGCGAGCAGAGCTTGCTCCATCTCTGAACTGGAATGGTCTGTACAGTGGTCCCAGAACAGAAACGCAGGCAGGAAATTGGTGAAGGGAAAAGGACTACACTGTCTTGTGCCTCTCTGTTGAGCCGCATATCAAGGATTCATGACTCTGGATTGTGCCCAAGGCAAAGGGCCATGGAAGAATTTTAAGATCAATTAAAAATGAGAATAAAAGCACAAGTACTCTCCCTCTTCTACTGATGTTCATTGTTATCAGCCCCCAGACTGAGCCTCTGGTAATTACGGGAACGAGTAGTGCACATTATGCAGGCCGCTGATTTTCTGGAACTTTTCTGCAAGGCTAAGGAGCAGCCAAAAAGGGCTCTGGTCTCTCCCATATACTACAACCATGTATTTCTCCCTCCACGCAATTCAGCTATAGGTTGCCAATTGCTTTTAAAAGTAAAAATGCTTTCCACATAATACAATACCTAGATTCACCTTTTATATAGCTTTTTTACCTTCTTCAAAAAGTTTTTACTCATTATCTCACTTAGAACCTCTGATTTGGAGGGAGTTGAGTCAGATGTGGGAAGTATCACATAATGGTTACGTGCTTTCGACTCAGAATCCAGTTTCAAATTCACACTCTGCTATTTACTAAGCTGAGTGACTTCGGACAGATTGTTTTAGTTATTTTAGTGTTTCCTTTCCTATAAAATGAGAATAACAATATAAATCTTAGTATCTTCCTCACAGAATTGTTGGGTGCGTTAATGGCTTTGGCACATACTATTTACCTGGTAACTATTAGCTATTACTATCACTCATGTTTTATCAAGGAAGAAACGAGAGATCCAGCACACAGACAAGTTGCCCAAAGTGGGATGCAAAGTGGG